GAGGGGGGGGGAGGGAGAGAGGGAGAACGAGAGGGAGAACGAGAGGGAGAGAGATATTATGTTTGATTACGGATGGCAAAGCAGACGAACATTCCTCAATCATGCACGGGCCCAGATATCCAGTAGTCTGAGAGATTACGGTTTTATGCTGAGCACGAAACTCGATAATCACGCTTTCTTTTTATTTCTAGTTATTAAGCATAATGTTATAAGCAAGCCTCGTTCACTTCTTGCATTCATAATCATCTTGGAAAAAGCATTGTTTATTGCGGTCACTGAAAAACTGATTAGAAACATAGGCACGTTTTTATAGTGTCCATCTTCCATGGACTTGACTGACAAAATTCGCTACAAATCTGCTGTTTGCTTTTTTCTTTTCTTTTACTCTTAGATTATTTTTTCCTTCACAGCCTGGTCTGGTTCAACAGAAGGTAGAGAAAAGGTTGCTTAGGAAAAACAGATTGTATGTAGAATTTCAATGTTTTAATTAAGTAGGGCCTGTCAATTCAGTTGCTGTAATATAAATCTGAGTGTTCATCCGCGTAATCTGAAAGCTCTGTGAGCTGCGAAACGAAAAGAGTTGTCCAGGAAATTAAATGTGAGGAAATGTAATACTGCAAGGGGTGGACATGTTATACCGTGATGTTATCATGTCTGGAAGAGAATGGAGTGGGAGGGAGGGATAAAGGTGGATGGAGAAAGAGAGGTGCATGTGGAGAGCTAGAGAAAGGAAAGAAGAAAGATGGGTGATGTAGTTTAGGTGGGAGAAAGCAGGAGACAAAGGGAGAAAGACATTGCACGAGACGAGAGTGAGAGAGATAGACCGAGAGTGAGAGAGAGAGAAGGAGAAAGAGAGAGAGAGACAGACAGACAGACAGACAGACAGACAGACAGACAGACAGACAGAGACAGAGACAGAGAGACAGAGAGACTTTCACTGTAAGTTGTAACGATTCCAAGTCTTAGTAGTTTTAACTACTGTAGCTTGACTGTGTCCAGTAGCCATGAGGTAGGCGGTAACATCCCCCTGGTAGCAGCAGCACCGGCGGAGGAGGAAAAGGAGGAAGAGGAGGATGAAAAGGAAGGAGAGGAGGAGGAGGAGGAGGAGGAGGAGGAGGAGGAGGAGGAAGAGAAAAAAATAAAGGGGACAGGAAGAGAATGAAGAAGAAGATATATGAAAGTGATAGATACTTTGGCGTGAGATCTTGAACATTTTAGTAGGAGAAAGAAGAGGAGGAGGAAGAAGAGGAGGGGGAGGAGATGGAAAAGGAGGAGGAAGAGGAGGAGGAAGAGGAGGATGAAAAGGAGGAGGAGGAAGAAGAAGAAGAGGAGGAGGAGGAAGAAGAGGGGGTAGACGAGGAGGGAGGAGAAGGGGAGCAGACACACTAGACGCATCATTCAAAGCCTGTACAAAAACCACCACTGCAGCCTCTACAGCAACAATAATTGAACCATCAAGGCAGCGGCAGAAACCCCAATACTCTCTTTATCATCACTACCAGCAACAACAACAAATTTTGGCTCAACCTATGAACAATGCCAAAACATGAACAATGTATGAACTTGTCAAGCCTGTTTTGTTACCTGTGGGCATGCAATATCTTCATTTTTCTTGTCTTGTTTCTTGTTGGGTTTTTTTCTAAGAACAATGTGCGAACTGAAGTGTGTATGCGCGCGCACACACATCGCCCCGTCTGTAAGCTGAAACATAATGTATGGCGTGAGATTTTAAAAAAGAGGAAAGGAGAGGGGAGGATTCCGGGAAGTGGAGAAAATGGGTGGGGGGGGGAGAGAAAGAGAGAAAAGAGA